CCGGATATTGTCAGTCTTGGACAGTATTGGATGATACGTCCTCCCAAGAGGGGGTACGGTTGATATTAGCCCAATTCGGAGTACAAGGTTCTCTGATACATCAGTATCACCTTGAGGGGACCGTTAAAATTGGACCAGAGAGTGTCCGTCATTCGTACATATAGTTTAACCTAGAGATTCGCACACATCTTGTAAAATCCCCAAGTTTGTCATTGTACTCGTTTTCGTCCTGAATCTCTCGTACCTCGCTACTCAATCTAACGAACACACACACGGAGGACGGCAGTAGGCTATCTAAGATAGAGTGTTCTATACCGATTTTCCCTCCCTCAAGAGAGCTGGTTTAAATCGAATCAGCAAATGCAGCCGTTTAATATGCGAAAGGCCGCAACAGTAAAGGAAACCACGATGGTCCTGGTAGTGTTTCTAGGAATGTCGCTGATGTTAAAGAGCCATAATAGAATTCCACTCGACAACTTTGGAAATGATTCAAATGCTTGTGGACAAACACAACCCTCATCTACTCAAATCCCTTTATTCAACAATCATTCTTTGGCCGATGTTAGTAGCAAAAAGAACGATGACGACAAGAAGGGCGACGGAACAACGGAACAGGAGAGAGGAGCTCTTTTTTCTGGCAACAAGGCCTTGACGAACAAGTTGGACGCGTCAATAATGATCACGTCGAATTTAATTCCGACACACCCACACATTGGTATGCTAGAAGATACAATATTTTCCTTGCATCGGTTTCTAAAAGGCATTCCGTTCGACACCCCTATCTACGTCATTGTTGATGGTCTACGACCTAAGGAGTTTAATGAAAATAATTGGGAGCGACGGACAAATTACATCCAAAACGTCCGAGAGCATAATTTTGCGCCCTTCACGAATGTTCAAGTTGTTCCGATGGAGGATCATCGATTTCTTGCCGGCTGCGTCAAGTTTGCGCTCGAAAACAATATTGAGACAGAGTTCTTGTACATAATTCAACATGATTTGCCATTCTGCAGAGAGGTTGATCATTGGAGATTGCTTAAAACTATGCGCGAGCACCCTGATGTATTGTTCAACGTTCGCTTTCGGTACAACAACAAGGTTTCTACGACTGGTAGCCATTGCAAATCTTACAAGAACATGTCGGATTTTCCTAAGGAAGATTTTAATGGATTGAGTTTCTTTTGGACAAATTTTTTTAGTGACAACAACCACCTAACAACGAAGAGGTACTACAGGTATTTGCTGAGCAATTTCAAGCATTACCGAAGGTCGATGGAAAACCTTATTTCTTGGAAGTCAAGATATAACTGCACTTATATGGGGCAGCAGATCTATGGCCGTCGCGACGACGGAGAGACCCATATCTGTCACTTAAACGGCAGGCAAGCTTTTGGAAAGAAGGTCGACAAAACAAGAAGTGCCGAACAGTCAATTTTGTGTCGCAATCTCATCTATGGTGAAATGACAGGACTGACAAAGAGTCAGGATGATGCATGAGAATTGGCAGACAAGTGCACAGTATAACCCTGATTTCGCTGTTTGGGTGAACCAGCACTCTAATTTGACAGTAAAGCAAATGTGAGGGCTATACTTGGAGTTTTCTAGAAGTAGTAGATATTTTCATAGGTAAGGAATGTGTCAGCAAATGTGTTTTGGTAGTGCTCCTCAACTCAACACTGGTGCACAACTTAAAAATGTGAATTTGATTGATCACAAAATCTTACCTCTCTCTTGGACAATTGTTTTGTTTTTGAATGGTAGATTGTGGTAGTTTCTCAAACGACATGACTTCATCCCAGATTACCTCACCTCCTCTGCTGCTAGATTATTACACACCACCCAAACCCTAGCTAGAAGTGAACAACAAATAGGTCGTGTACAAAAATTTCCAAGGACCTTGTGGAAAAATTTGGCATACATGTAACGACTGCTGAAAATCAGGAGCTAGTAGTAGCAAGATCTTGGAAAGCTACAAACAAAAGAGGTTGTGAACACTGTTGGAGAGTTCAAACTCTCATTCTTTTTTATAGACTGCTCCATATCCAACAGAGTGACATCAAAGTCTAGGAATAGACAGTTCATTAAGATTAGGAAAGCACATGGCTCTTCTCTTCTCTTTTGACAGTCATGACCATCACAGAAATTGCCCTGAGCAAAAAGAGCTCCAGCTACCTCACCTTCAAGGTGCGTTACCCAAACCATGATTCAAAGGCAGTCCTTGACACTTCCATCCAAACCAGAAACTACTGTTGGAAGATCAGAACAGCCACATCAAAAAGGCTGCTCAAGGAGGTGCACCAGCATAGTACAAAGAATGGCCCTAACAAGGACCAATGATTAGGAACACCACTATTGGAGAAAAGAAACAAGCTTTCTTTGTGTGTCGCAAGAAGTTTGGACAGTTGGCTCGTAACGTCTTGAAGGGCTTGGTCCCTTTTCTGACTCATTACCTGTATGAGCCAACTCATAATAATAATAACTGAAACATTAATCAATTAACGGTCCGTCCGCCGCTCAACAGATCAATTTTGTACTTTTTTGTCGGAAGACTGATGATCCAAAACCTTATCCAGGCATAAAACTAAAATTATTCCCATACAAATGTTTTAGTTTAGGTCCTTAGGTTTCATCCTATCTGGTGAGCACTTCTCTACTATGCTCTAGAAAGTCACTGTAGCCCAAAAACGTCATCAGCTCCATTGGACAGAAATCGAAAATTTCCGATGTCCAAAATGTGCTAGCAATTCACCAAGGAAGGCTTCAATGAAGCTAAAAATCGAGACACAGATTGTTCATGAGTCGTACTAGGCCACACTGTGCACATTTGATCCCCATAACATCCAATAAAATCTCAGAGGAGGTTGATTGTTACTGCTCTTATATTGCGTCTGATGTCGCAAATCCACATGGTTCAATCGGCTGGTACACAGCCAATAAGAACTCCAGACATGGTACCAAGCCTCTTCATAACACGAATAATGAGTTCAACTGAGGTATCAGGTCTCCTGGGAGCGTCGCGATTGTCCAAAATTGACAGCATCACCAACAGATATATCAGCGTAAAATCAGCACTTGCACCCAGCAGAATCACCATGTCCAACGTAGTGGAGTCAGCAAATACCAATGATACAAAGGCTAGTAGATAGAAATCCAATAGTGAAAACACTCGGGATAGCCAAAGGAAGTAGTTAGATCCACAGGGTGCAAGCAGAAGCATCCCAGCAGTGTCGAGGAACACTATAGGCTCCTTATGCCGTTCTTTGTCTCATTCAGCTTGCTCCTTTAGTGTTACCTGATCTTCGCAGATGTCTCATTGCTAACCTGAAATTATCATGTGTTGTTGTGCTGTGTGTATATACCGGGTACTGTAGTCAAAGAGACGATGATGCAGTTTTATTGTTGATGCAACAAATAAATGCGGCAGTGTATAATTTTTGGGTCTGTCTGGCCGCTCTCATGTCGGATGGAAAAATGCATGTGTGACACATATATACCGCGGTATAAAATATCCAAATCTTTGATTCTCTTTATTCACGACACTCAACGCTCACATGAAAACCGAAGTAAAAGACAAAAACACAACGGGCTCCCTGGAGGGAATCCTTCTGACCACGGTCCATGCCCTCTGGATTGTCACTTTGAACTGTCCGAAATCAAATCCTTGACAAGATGTCAGCATCAAGTGACAATTGGGATGTCGCTGTTCAGAGACAGCCGTGTAGTGATACATGCAGATTCCCAAAATGCCCCAAGAACACTGAGTTTTGTGTCAAGCTTGGAATGTATTGTACGCGACACTGTCCTTGTGGTAAACAAAAGAAGAAATGTGGAAACATAAAGCAGCAAAACAAAATTAGTAAGGAAGTTTGTAGCAGCTGTAACAAGAAGCGAAGGCTTGTCGCCCGTTGTCAAATTTGCAAGAAGTGCAGTGATTGCTGTACTTGTGTCACCAAAACTCCTGCAAAAAAAGATCCAATTACGGAGAAACAGTGAGCCCGATACAACTCGCTGCTCAAGAGAAGACTCCTCTCGCTACACGTTTGGCAACTGGAGAGCTTGTACAAGATTGGACTGGGTTTGAAGAAGCTCGGCTCTTTGAGGCTGTTGGTCTTGATCAGTCCACTTATCGTCATATGCCCAGTGCCACAATTTGTCAAGAAAGCAACACACTTGAACAGATAGGATATGAAGCATTCAGATCGTGGGTGCAATGAACTTGTGCGTGTCATGGATCGCATCTATGAAGAATGTGCAAGGATTATCTTGCCAAGCAATGCGGAATGGCTACAAGACCGGCACTACGTGAAACTAAGCAAGTCGCAAGGCATGCCGGCAGATCAGAAGAAGAAAGTCGCAATCTTGTAGAGATTTGCCAAGGGGCTCTTTATTCTTGTCAAAAAGATGCCGCAGCATACCATGGCCTATCGGATTGCGAGAGCAATCATTGTAGACAATGCAACCAAGGGCGAGCTTGCCAACGTTTTTAGTGATCTAGACCCTCCAAGGTTCTGCCGCGTTGCTCAAAAACGTGGATGCGAAGACATGGCTAGAGCCATCGAAAGCAGCAAAGATCCAAAAAAGAAACGCTGTTCCGTTGCACGCATTGACCCGGAAACTCTCACACGGATGGTGAAGCACATTCTTTTGTTTTCTCAAGCTCTTTCTTGGGGCACCAAGGAACTAAGACAAAACGGAAAGACTGAAACGATCACATTCCCAAGACTCACAAGAACACACCCAGTGGAAGTGATGTTTATGGATTACGTAAGAAAGGGGGCAGAGCTCAAGGGAATTGAGTTCAACGAGGAGCGTCAACCACCTCAACGCACAACCCACTACCTCCTTGTCAAGCATTTGACATCAAAGGCTGAGAAAAGTATCACTTGTATTGACTATGTCCAGGATATCTTGGTGAATGTTCGAGTGACTGGGCTTACAACAATTATTGAGCAAGTCGTCGCCCCAACTCAGCAGAAGGCAATGCAGCGATACGTGTTAGTCCTTCAAAACTTTCTGAAGTACCAATATGATGGGCACCATGAAGAAGGATCAGTAGTAAGTAAAGCAAAGGGAAATGTGCAAGATGCTGCATCTATATCCCTTCTCACAGTGTCGTCAGATTTGTTCCCACAGCATTGACTATGGCCTAAGATTGGCCTAAGATTGGAACAACAAAGTTATGAAGGCAATAACTCATCAAACTGTGTTCAAATCAAAGGCATCGAACATTGCCCCGCGTGCAAGTTTGTTGAGTACTTCATGTGTGTTATACTTCCCGGTGAAGTGAAGGGAAATTGAAGCTCAGCAAACAGTGCCAGCATTGAAGATGCATTGGACTACATTGAAGACTCGCTTGATTGCTTCCATCGCTACCAAGCTCATCGTGTACGAGTGAAAAGTCAACAAAAAGCAATTCAGCAAGTAGATCTTAAACTCAAAGAGGAGGTGTTGAGGAGGAAACAACGCGGCACTACAGTAAAAATTACGATGGACTTCAAGCAAAAGTTCTTGGAAAAAAGGTTGCGTTCAAGCCAAATGAATGACTTTGGACAGCGAGGTAACAGTTGGCATATCGGTGTCATAGAGTATTATGACTTTGAAGCGCCGTGTCAAGCCAATGGCAACACAGCCCAAGCAGTTCCCATGATGTTCCCACTTGATCAAATTCTTGATACCGGGAATAAACAAGACGGACTCTGTGTGTTGTCGATGCTAGAAGCGATGATGAAAATTGTCACAGTGCAGTTCCACTTTGTCAAGAGAATTATATTGGCTAGTGACAATGCCAATTGTTATCACAGTAAGGAACTGATCTTCCCCATCTGCTTTCTCAATCAGCTATCAAGCGGCCCAAAGATTATCAAGTACATTCACCCTGAGACACAGGATGGAAAGGGTTCGTGCGATTCTCATGCAGCGGTTGCTGGGACTCATGTGGATTGGCGCTATATTTGCACCCAAAAGGACGATACGCTCACAAAGAACGAAGCTTGTACGCCTACAGAACTCGCCAACGCATTATGTACCAATGGCGGGATCAAAAACTCTGGTAAGGCATTAGTTTTTCGTCTGTTTTTATAGCATCTGTTTTCTCATAAACTCCCATCTTGCCTTTATTCCAGCGGTTCAGCTGGTCGAACTCAACTTCCAACGTCTTGACAAAATTTCGCAATTATGTTCTGGCGCAGGAACACCCGCAACTCTGAACTGCTCGCGCACCTGCCAGTCAGAGCCGGCCAGCACCAAGTTTCCACAGAAAGGGGGAGCACAATTTTTAGGGGTGATATTTCTTGCCAGTAGAATAGAAGTCTTCGCATGGTCGAAAGCGCGTTAAAATGAAAAGTACGCAAAACCTTAAAGTGACATCCCGAATCCTTAAAATGACTCCCATTTGTTAGATATTACTTCCAAGTGTTATCTCCATATTTAAAGTGACTTCCAATTGTTATTTCCAGACTTAAAGTCACTTGGCTATTTCACAACTCAATTCCCATTTTCAAATCGCAATCACCTTCCCGTATTCTTGTCATCTTTGGGCACAAGATCCCAACTTCAAGGATGGCAGAGTGTTGGAGGACCCCCAGCCAAGATATAATGATGATACTGCCGGTGTAGACGAATTGGACGAGGCACCAGTCAATCATGTGGTCACACCAGAGAGGATCCAGTATCTTGGATTGAAACTGGTGGGGTACAAACGCAAACGTTTACAGAAATGAGCGGCATGGGTGAGCTTTGAACGTTTCAAGGGATTTTTTGGTTTATCTCCTGTAATCGCTGCCGAGATTTACCACGACATGCAAACAACAGATATTGAAGAAGCCAAAGTAGAGGGCAGCCGAATTGATTTGAGGAATCTCTTGATTGCACTTCATTACTTATTGAAGTATCCAACAGAAGGTACGTTGCAATGGCTTTTTGCAGCGCCTTGTGTTACTGAATGAAATATTGTCTGGTCACTAGGGACATGGAAGCTCACTTTGGCTTCAGCATGTACTGGTCAAGAAACTTGGCTTGGGAGTTGATCAAGAGACTTTGAGCATCCCACTACACAAACTTCATCACATATAATTCAAACAAGCTACTTTGTCGTATCCAGGCAGAAGCAAAAATTGCCGTCAACCTAGCATAATTGCAAACGGCTGTCGATTGCAAACCTACAGCTTCCGATCATATGTCCGATCACGTGTATGCCTTTTTGCCGCATCCTCTAAAAGGCTAGAAACGAAGCCATTTTTTGCCACAACCAAGGACAAAGACTGTCAATTCAATTGTGAACGTGTACTTTACATATAACAGTGACCGCAATAAAACGAACCCACCCTTGGCTTCAAGCTGGTTTCTTGTTGGTTAGCGGTGTGACCCTCAGTGTTCAGCCAGTTCGCAATGAGGACGCTGCTAAGTTTACTAAAAAGGGCTAACAACACAGCAAAATGATGATAGCTAGCAACGTCGTTCGATAAGATTACAAATACATTTCACACAACAAACTTTTTGTCGTCTGCTAGAAGCTCCGTTTATGCTCAAACAATATGTCATCAACTACTACAATAGGATTTGAGTTTACTTTTTGTGCCACACCTGCTTTAAAAGTGATGTCCAATTGTGACGTCACGCCTTACAGTGATGTCAAATTGTGACGTCGCTCCTTAAAGTGATGTCCTATTATGACGTCGCTCCTTAAAGTGATGTCGATAATTGTTAATGTGTGTCGCCGAACACTAAAGTTTTTCCGATTTTTTTGTTTGAAAAAAGATTAGTCGTGTTTGTTAAAATACGTTACCGCGAGAAGAGTGATACTCTCCCATCAAATAAAAGGGGATTACGGGTGACGGGAGAACGCGTGCAAGTTTTGTGCTGAGATGGCTGGCGCGCGAACACACAACAGTTGCGGGTGTTCCAGGTGAAGCTGTAAAAGAATACTTTGCTAGAGCAAATGAAATCCGTTTTTTCCCGGATCTTGATGGGCTTGCCAATTGGTCCAGGCTTGATTTGAACAATGAATCCACCTGGAGCTCTTAGTACAAGTCATCAATTACTCCAGCATATCCAAAGGCATGGTTTTTAGAGCTGGTTTCTCAGGCTGGAAGAACCGCAAAGGCTCTTTCACCCCTGTTGTTGATCCTTCCCAAGAGCCAGATTGGTACGATAAAATGGAAATGTCCATTATAGCCTCAAATAAAATTCAGAGAGCCAAGGATTACATTGATGCTTGCAAAGTTGGGAGATCAGTAATTGCTTGATTGAATGCTCATATTCAGTCAGCGAAAGTTGGAAAAGAAGTCATGAAGCAAGCCATGTTCGAAGTTACAAGCGGGCATAAGACCATCAACAACGAGGATGTGCAACATAATGGCGAATTATTGGAAGCGGAAGAGAATCACATGAATGATGACGTGAGCGAGTTGGACTGCTTTGAATCGTACTATTGGGAGATTGAGCACACTGTAGCATACGTCAAAGAAGGCCAGCAAGATGACACATCATTGGACAGTGACATTGAGGATGGCGATAGTGATGGCGAGGCAAGTGTGGATGAAGAAGCAGATAGTTACCAGGTCAAGGCAAGTGCCGACCGCCTTCTTGAAGAAGCACCAAAGGAACGCTACAACAAGAAAACATTCTTCACTCAGGTACAAGTTAAATGGTACAAGCCTTTTTGCACTTTTTATCCCACCAAGCCAAAGGTGGCGAAAGAGAAGAAAAAGAAGACAATTATTGAAGAGGATGAGTACGACAGCGGAAGGGTGGTGGACCGGGCCATCGGACTGGCTCAAAATTACATTAACACGGCTGAATGCTCCATCACACCGGCACTCAATGCCAAGATGAAAGAATACAAGATTGCTGATCAATGGCGTCCACTAGAGCCTTTGATGCGGTCTCAAGGTTTGGCAAGGCGACCCATGAGCAGAGGACTGTACGGAAGGATCATGAAAGGAGTAGACTTTGAATAATTATCACTTAGTATCAAATTAGAATTTGACTATGCCCTCAGATGACAGTAGTTGGACGAGAAGCTATATTGTTTGCGGTGTGGTTCTCCTTTTCATTTTCAAGATCATCCTTACGAAGAACCTGCACGATGTCACGCATCCTGAGTTTTTGGGGCTGTTTGCCAAAGCGTTCTTTGTAAACAGCCCAGAGTTCAACACGCTTCTTCTTATCGTAGTATTCTGTCACCTCCTCTTTGTTGTTATCATCCTCACTGTCACTGTTGGACATATCGCTACCATCTGGATTGGCAGGTTCACTGTCAACATTGCGCCCCACAATGGACACTTCGTCTTTGCTTTCGTCCAAAGTTGATTCAATAGGAGTAACAGCGGAAGTTTTCTTCCCACTATTCTTCCTTCTTTTGCCTTGCTTCGTAACGGCTGCTTCATTGTCCTTGCTTTCCATCAAGTTGGCCTCTCAAAAATGGTCATTGCAGGCACATCATCTGGGTCCATCACCACCATTATTTCAATCGTGAGCACACCAGTGAAGGTTTCAAGCACAATCTGACCATGAGAGGAACATGATCTTGGTGTGGAGATCTTGGCTCTGCCATTCTCATGATCAATTGCTTTCACATGTGGGATGATTCAAAAAGCACTGATTGCGCCATCGCATTCAATAGGAGTCCAAGAGGTAGTTTTCTTCCTATTCTTCTTGCTTTTACCTTGCTCCACAGTGACTTCTTCTTCTCCTTCTTCGTTGTTGTTGTCGTCATCGCTCTCCGCCAAGGTTGGTCTCTCAATAGTGGTCATGGTAGCAACCACATCATCTGTATCCGCGATCACCACCAAATTGATCGTGAGCAAGCCCAAAAAGTCCTCGAGAATGATTTGACAATTAGAATCAGATCTAGGTGGAGACATCTCAGCATGGCCATCCTCTCGATGAATCACTTTCACATGAGAAACGATTCCAAGGGCACCAATTACACCTGATTTGAAGAACATTCTGACGGTGGATGTATTTTTTTGTGACCGGGCACTGCCGTTTTGATGACATCTTAGATTTCCCGGCTCTGGTTTTGTTGTTGCTGCGGGAAGGTTTTGAATTAGAATGGCGTGTTTTGGTGAAACCGATGGTGAGTGCAATAGAATTTCATGTTCCTGTTATTTGAATTTTGAATTCCGCGTATAGATTGTACAACAAACACAAAAAACGATAATGTAACGCTCCCGCGCGATCCGTCACGATAACAGACACCGGTTTTGATGAAAATATGTTCAAACGGGAAACGCGGGACTATTTGGAGGTGGGGAACCGTCATAATCTGGACACCATCATCCGCAAAAAGTTAACATTCGTTGATTGAACTTTCAATATGAAGTTTGATGCCAAAAAACTCCACGACTTTTTCAATGTGCAGTTCTACAGAGCCTCTGACACCGCAGGAGGCAGTTGGAATGGTTATGGACGGGGACATCTTTGTGTCAATTTTATCAACAGATGTGACGGCTGTTCATTTGATAGCCAAGGACTGGGACAATTGACCTACCACAATGAACTCACCAAAGCAGGTGGTCTGAACTTGTGCATTGTCAAAACTTTGTGATTGAAGTTTCCAAGAAGGAGCTGAGGCTTTCATTCAAGGGTGCTTCAGACGTACTTGGAAGCAATGGCTTGAAGAATATGTACACCATGAGGATGGGATCTTTTGAAGATGCAAGGCAACTCGTGAACATACTGCATCTTCTAGAACGAGCGGCAGGTCAAGCTTCCGAATGCAACCGCATTTTGCTCCCAGATCCACAGTCTGTCGAGGCCATCACTGCTCGTACCTTGATTGGTGCTCAAAACGAGGAAGTCAAACGCCACTTGATTTTTTCAAAGCTCATCCAGCTTGCAATCAAAGAAGATGGAGAACTTCCTTCTGTATCCAATGAACACGCTGTTGAAGTTCCTCCTCATTGTTTTACTCTTGGAGACGATACCGGCATTAGTGGTGTTGACATTATTGATGTAAATGCATCATTGTATCATTGTGGTAAAGCTAATGAAGCAGACGATGATGATGAGTCGGCCCACAATGAATTTCAACCTCTCACACCTGACAGTGCCAAATGGCAGGAGTCACAACAATGGCAATCCGCGTTCTAACATTCAAAATCACAAGAAAGCTAAGAAGATAGCTTCGATATAATTGTCTTTCTATCCCTTTAATCTTTTGCTCTTTGAAATCCTAGCACTAACTACCGTTGGCACCTTCGTCTTTTCATTCCAGAGCGATTAGTAGGTAGATGATATGTGTGTCACATCACACATGCATTTTTCCATCCGACACGAGAGCGGCCGGACAGACCCAAAAATTATACAACGCTGCGCATTCTTATTTATTTGTCGCATCAACAATAAAACTGCATCATCGTCTCTTCGACTACAGTACCCGGTATATGCACACGGCACAACAACACATGATAATTTCAGGTTAGCAATGACACATCTGCAAAGATCAGGTAACACTAAAGGAGCAAGCTGAATGAGACAAAGAACGGCATAAGGAGCCTATAGTGTTCCTCGACACTGCTGTGGTGCTTCTGCTTGCACCCTGTGGATCTAACTACTTCCTTTGGCTATCCTGAGTGTTTTCACTATCGGATTTCTATAATAATAATAACTGAGACATTAATCGTTTGGATGCTACTCTATGGGCATTCGATTGCCGGTGAAATATTTGGCTGTAAAGGTCAAGTACTGTGGAGCGGTGAGTCAACAACAAGTTTGAACCATGGGAGGCATCTGTACCTAAACAGAAGTTGCTCAAGTCATGTCGTTAAGAATGACTTCTCCCGCAGCGAGGCAGGGTGAATTTGGGGCGCTTATTGTCCCACAAACGTTGGGAAGCGTTCAGGAGGGGGGAGCAGAGAAGATAGTCCGGAGGCTACGTCGTTGAGCCCGCAGAGAGCGGCAATAGTCCTACCACCAGTGACTTACAGAGGACGCTGTGATGGCATGTCAGCATGCGTCTAATATCCGGAGGTAAATCAGCTGAACCCATATCAAACTGAGAGTGAATCCCCTTGTTGACAACACAGTGACGTTCACGGAGCTGAACATTGTCATCCGAATGTTGAACGGCGTTCCGTTGTTCCCACATATAGAACCCAATGGAGATGAGTTGCTGGGAGAGACAGGAGGCCCACAGAGAAACCGACCGACGACTGTGAATCTCGTCAAAATAATTTTGTTGCAGAGACAGCCACAAGGAGGCTAGTCTGCCTTTCAAAAGTCCCTGACACCCAATAGCTTCCTGTGCCAGAAAGGCCGGGCGAATGGTCCGAGAGATCAAACGAGAGGGGGGACATGATGAGTCGCAAACACCCTGAAGCAGAAGGAGTATCACATGTTTGATGGCGGGGGAGGTACGATGTATATCCATCCAGAGTGAGAGCGCGGTCACCCTCCGGTCCCATTTGTCCCTAGCCGAGGCTGCTGGGCAACGGGGAACATGCAAGTGATCTTCAAACTCACCGCACCGAGGGCACGCAGCGGACAATTTGAGGCCCTAATACACTTTGAACTTCCCCGTGCCACACATACCCACCCAATGTTTTGTAATCCAGCACTGGAGTCCGGCAGGTAGTGACCGCATAGGGCGGCCCAGTGTCTCCCAGTCAATAAGGTTTTCAGACTCCTCAGAGATCACATTACGGTTCCTCCATTGTTGCCGCAGGCGGGGGAGTGTCACGCACTCCTGAATGAAGTGGTCACTCAGCCGAGAC